TTATCAGTCAGGGTACTGCCAAATGCTTTCACTTTTCGTATGAAAAGAATAATTAATCAAAACTCTCCAGGAGGTGGATATAGTCAGAAGAGAGCAGGATTAGCCGGCTAGCAATGCTTTCGATGGATTTTTTTTCTGAGAGTTGCTTAGAAGTAAGCTGATGGCGAGGTTTGATTCCCCGACGCGTTCAGCACCAATTTGCATCGAAACGAATGAACGAATCGTAGAGGGATTGGTTGTTCCACTGGTGAAATTGGGCCTTCAAGCTTCTGCATGACAAAAGCACTGCTATATTATTGCAGCTTTATATCCCACAGAAATTGGCATTTTAAACGATCTTGATTTTGTTTTAACAAAAAGACTTCAAATGAAAAAAATTAATTCATTCTACTTTAGCTCCTTTTGATATTGGACTTTGTGATACGCTTATTGAGCGGACATGAAGTTTTTTGCTTAGATCTATCTAGTCTCATCCGATTAGTTTGGATTTTTCAGCGCTGCTGTATGATAGTAAGGAATTGTTTTATTCTGCATCTCCAGATGTTGCCTTCTTTCAGTCATCTTGCTCTTCACCTCGCTCGATATTCTCCTCCATCTTTTTTCGAGTAAGTCTGTACTTCACAGTTCAGCTGGTATTTTTCACGGGCCTCACAGACATTAGTTCATTTATCCTGAAATCATCATGCACTGTAGATCATCGGGTTCTTCCACTAAAACGATCGAGCACGAATCATGTCGCGCACTGAGAAGCATTTCACCTCAGCAAGGTACTTATAGTTATCACGTGAAATTATGGGCCAGCCGAACAGTTGACTCATGCCTCATTCCCTTCTTATCGAACAGCGTCCGGTTCTTTGAGTTTTTGACCTGAAGCACAGTACAGGTAGCATTTTATGCATGTTTTAAATATCTGTACAAATTTCGTTGAATAATACTTATATTTCCGAGCTTTGGTATGCGTGGTACTTGTGCCTTTCCTCCAGCTATACGAAGAATCCTGGCCAACAGTGATGTGATCGCATACTGCGCTAACCAGGGGATGTTATAGAAACATCCGCAGTATACATCT